TCCTATAAGCAGTGCAGCTGACTGATGATGAAAAAGCACTGCTAAATTATTGTCTAATAGTAAGTAATAAATGGAGAAATCTACGGAGGACTGATTCATATGCTATCCCGTAAAACACGTTGCTCCCTGGTATAAAATGTACATTTCGAACAAATAGTACTAGGTTCATGCCTGGCAGAGAACAGCTATTCGAAACCTCTATAGCCAAAACTTGTTTAGTTCCCTCATTTCATCATTTTACACCCTGCTTGTTTTCAATAATGTTATATCTTCTCCAATAGCGTTACTGTGAGACATAACTCCATTGTGTTGATCGGTATTATTTATGCTGGATTTAGTTAATGCTTACTCGTGCTTCATTTAGAATTTGTCATTATCGTCTGCTTATCCTGACCCTTAGTAGCACAGGAAAACGGATGAATCGGAATCGAGAATAGTGACGGGGGCAGAAAGGTCAAGCGAAGAAGCTTTTAGGAAAACGCCTTAGCTTTATACTCACCTTGTTAATAGCTACTAGTATATGCAATATAGGCAGGCGTTTACCTATGCTGTAATTAAAGTCATAGAAAAAACTACTAAGTACTACTTTTCGTTATGTACACATGAATCTTTATCTATATCTGGGCGCCGTGTGATTAATGTTACTAGAAGTTATATCAGTATTATATGGACCAGAAGAGACATGGCATATATCACAGTAATCTTTTGTAAATGACTAACGTATCTGGAGATATAGAAAAAAAAAATGTATGAACCCTACGATTATATGGCCATTTAGCATTACGTCTTATATCTTTCTAGGCTAGCAGGCTTTGTGAACTAAAATATCTACAAATACTTATGTGCTTGCATTAAAACGCCTTGAAAGAAAATGAAACTTCAAGGTACGTAGAACGGCAAATGATGAGCTGCTTTGGGGAGAATTGGACACAGGACGGCTTCACTCAATAAGAGGTAGGAATATGGAATGGCCTTTTATCGGACAGTCCTGCAAAGTCGTTAACTAGTCAGTGGAGATCGATATGGGGACGACGGCTAATATGGACACAAACACGATTCGATTAAACCGGTATTCAGCTTTCAACCTCAAAGCGTCCTGACATTTATTGTAATACTGTTTTGGTTACTAGAAGGTACATATGTGCCTGTTACTAAACGGGGCTGAGAAAAGGTTCTTGAAAGCAGGCTGCAAGGAACCTTCCTCGGAATAAGTGTATTACGTTTGAAGAAGAAGGACCTAACACTAGGCATGATGCAAACAAAAAAAAGAAAAGCTGCGCTAGGCAGAAGGCAATTGGGTGAGTGGGCAAAACATAGAAGTTGCACAAAACTAATCGAGCTCGATACAAATAGAAGTTGGACGCCAACTAGGCGGAGTTCATACGATCGCTATGCAGTCCTAAAAGGCGATACTTTTTTTACGGTAGTTTTGACTAACGTAGGGATACTAAAACATGAAATCTAACTGTTAAACTAGCTAGTTATAGCATTCGACAAACACTTTTTCAGCTCACTCTTCCATAACGAACGAGGTTTCCTAAGTTAGTATGTATAGGACTAGACCAGACGAATAAGCGTAACACCGCTATCATCCATCTGTGACCAGCAGGCATAACTGTATTATCTCGCCTTTTAACGTGCGGGACCGGGTGTTTGAATGAAACCGAAGTCGACTGGTGAAAGCATCGAACGCAGTACGAGGTGCATCAGCTTTAGCCGACTAACGCTGTCATTCTTCAATACCCGTCTGGTCGAATTCTCTATTTGACATTCACTATCTTATTCGTAAACGGACCACCTCGTGAATGTAAGATTTTAACATGATGAAACGATGCACTATTTGAAGTTAGCCCCATTATCCTAGGTTATGAATTAAATAAACCTTGCCATTTACAAAAAAATCAAAAATTCACACCTTCTAATATTAGTATTTTCGGAGTTGCAGGCTTCTACAGGCTTGGATTTCTCTTTCATTCTGTCACATGTCCAACTTCACCGGAGCTGGTAAAACGCCATAAAATTCGCAATAATTACATTTTACGCTACCAATGTACAATACGTTCTTCTTCTCCGTCGCGTGTATGTATTTACGTCGGTTTCATTTGTAGCTTCTCACCATTTACACGGCGATATATATACTATCCCAAAGAGGGCGGCGGGAAGACTATCCTTATTTCTGCACCGGTATCGTTGAGTCAGCTGCAGTCCCTCGGGATCGGAAAGTGGTATAGTACTTTACCTCTCTCCTTGTTGATTACAATTCTTTTTATGTAAAGACAGCATCACGCTTTATAGTGGCCTGCGAAACGAAGAGCAGAACACTCCGCCACCTTTACGTCAAGCCACGTTTGACCACGACAAAAGTCGCATGCTCCCGTGCCAGTCAGATCACTAAGGAAACTTCTAGATTTATCTATGTACCAGACACCTCACATATGGCCGGTAAACGATAAGGCAAATGCGTATAAAACAGCTTTGCATGTCACACTACGGCTTTACAATAGTCGCCTGTATGGCATTATTTCTCCGGTACCCTTCTGGGTGTCGAACTGACAGAATAATTGGCCGGACTCTGATCCACTCGGACCGCTCGGACGACTAGCTGTCGAAGTACAGCATGCTTCACACAGAAATGACTGTGGATCTCGAGCACATATGAATAATTGAGGATAAATAGTGGAGGACATATTACAACTGAAAAGCTCTCTGACTTTGTGTGGTACCTTTTTTCGCCCTGTTAGTCTCGTGCAGATACGCGAAAATAGAGGCGTCGTTTACTTCAACGTGGGGAACGATGTTGTCTATCTGTGTATTTGTGCATCATCTGCTTAAGAAAGTAGTAACGAGGTCTGCGTCCCCTCACCCCCAAATCTCCATTGTGACAATTTGTCACAATGGAGATTTGGGATGGAGAGGCTACCCCACATGACACGATTAAATCTAATATCCAACGTCTTCCTAGCCGGGCTTCGCGAAGCGTCCATGTCTTTCTGCTATGTTTTGGCCGCAAGTGAACTGACGTTACCCTAAACAGGCCAACTTCGTTTACTAGGTTACGTTGGGTAGCCCGAGGGTACCGTCCGACGATCAACTACTATGTTAGTTGGTAACATCTAGAGGGGTTTGTTTCACACAAGACGGATTCTCACGTATTCTTGCTCTGTATCCTTACGTTACTGTTTGAGGGCTGACATCCTGCGTGTCAGGCCATTGTCTCCGACAAAGGACGTTCAGGCTGTTTTAGGCTTTACATTAGGCTGCCTAACCATTAAGCGTTACTTGACAGTCCCTCTATTTGAGCTTCGCTCCAAGCAGTCTAACCTTCGGTGTAACAAGCTAGCAAATATTCATATGTCTACATATATATTGTCGTGTTCTTGTCACGCCCGAGCGTACGTGACAAGAGTACTACATTTTGACTCTCGCTGCCTTCAAGGTCATTGAGTCGATAAGTCGGCTTTAGGTTGGGTTTGGAAGACAGGCGTTCTAGCGTACCAAAATAGTTTTACCTGTTCGAATTTTTACTAGAAGGTGTCTTTTGCAACAGGCATTGTCAAAGCGATCTATTATGAATAAACGTTCTAATTGTATATTACGAGTGCAACAATTATAGGGTTGAATTTACAAATAGCTTTATCTACGTAACGAAGGTGTCTGATATAGCTAAATGATGTTTCCGTTGCGTATATTCGTTAGGAAGACCTAGTCCTTATCCACAAACCATTTGATGATATTGTAATGAACGTTACAGCTCTATCATTACGCGCGTCAATTCTAGATTCTCGGGATTAAAATAGCGTCAGACAAAACAGCTCGAACAGAATATCGGCGGCCCTTCAGACACTTAGCATTATGTCCTTTCGGTATATCGTCTTCTTGCATTTTGTAAGCGTTTACTTCTCATTCTGCCTCGATCAATTAATTGGCCCGAATAGTATATGTCTAGAGCCTTTATCTATAAATCTTAAGAGAAACATAACATAGAGAGCATTCAATACTGAATATTTTCGGTGGACTTTCTTGCTCTTTTTTGAAGGAAGAAACTTAAGTCGATTTTCGCTTAGATCGACTCTTCATATTTTAATCAACTTCAAGACTATATATTCCCCTTCTATTTATGAGACCATCCACTAAAGACGCGTTAGTGGACATTTCAACTGCCCAAAAAAGCAAAACGAAGGGGAACAATTTATAGAAGAATAGCCATCCTCCAACGGACAATGCTGGTGCATAGGATCGATCTTAATCTATTAACTATTTTGATGTTTCGTCGTCTGCCAATGGTCAGACTTGACAATGCCGTTGTAAAAATAATCTTTATTTCTTCACAAAAAAGGTCTCATACGTTTCGTCGACTCGACAACATTTTACCTTGAATTAGAATATCAGTGGTAGACGCGTTGGGTGGCAAAAAACAACGCTTTCAATTCTGTTGTTCCCTTGGTGCTTGACCGAAAACGAAAAGTCGTCGATATGCAATGGCGTATACGAATAAAGCCTCTCTAGCTGATACTACTCTTTAGAAGTGCCTTGCTAAGATCAAAATGGCATTTAGACGAGGTAAAATCTATAGTTCTCTACTAGAAGGCCAGCAGCGTCGTCGTCGTATATAGAATACATTTCCGCAACATTGTAACATTAAAAGAAACGAAGTGAATGGATCACAAATGCTGCCTGCTACGTGCTACGTAATATACCCGTGTTTGATGCGTGATCAAACTCAAAATAAAGCTGTTTAATCTGAAGCAGGGTAAACAGATTAATGGAAAAAGCAAGAACATATAAAAGCGTATATTACCTAATCATCAATTTTAAATAAACGTGCAAATGCTTTATTGTACCGTTCAACGTACCTGGCCTGAATACTGCCTCCACCTCATAATGATACGAATTTTTATTTTGAAGTTGAGGCATAGTCAAATGACTGGATCAAGGTTCAGGTCCTTTTCGGCCTTCTGATATGCTCCTTCTATCGTTGTCGTTCCGGTTTCTATTTTCAGAGGAGTACGTGCCAGTAATTTACGCATCTTGGCAACTACCACCTCGTCGAGTGCCCGTAAAGAATCGCCGCATACGTCGAAGAAGATACCTTGATGACAACTATGTCGACCTCGAAAGTGTAAGTAGCCGAGCTGACGGTACACGCAAGAATATAAAGGGTCGATATGACTTCAGAAAAAAATATCGTATACGATGCGTTGTTACGTAGTAGTAGAGAAACAAAGTGCCGTCAAAAGGTGTTAAACGTGATACACATTCGGGGCACCGTTATTGAAGGAGCATTTTTTTTGCTAACATAGTTAACCTAAACCTTATTCTATCTAAATCTTTCATCAATTAATGAATATAGAATCACATGGTGGAGTTCAATATGGCATCCCTAAAAAGTAACGGCCAAGGACATATTATCGGTGCTATGCCCGTGTGCCAGGTACCTCAAGCATGCATTTTTTAGCAACGACCTCATTTCGAGAACACCATGGATGATATACATAGATATGAATCGGAAATCGCTTGATGAAAGTATTTATTTAGGAAGATATGCACGCAGTAATAGGGAAGATACGATCTTCTTCGTGCTGAGCGCCTGTGATAGAGGGTGTTTCGAGGATAGACGCCTCAACAGCTCAAAAGCCGACAGGCCCAACCGTACCTAAAGGCTTTGAGTTTTCCGTCCGATATTGCCGCTAGTCGTTGTTTCAGACGACTGGCGGCTTTTCCAGTCGTCCGAACGAAGTGTTTCTACGTCCAGCTTTAAACTTAGGCCAGCTTAGCTGTCCTTAAGTTTAATAGTTCCATCACAAAGACAGCAATAACACACTAACTACAATGAGTTAAAATTGCTTTCGAGGAGACTTCCTGCTTAGATACCACGGCTGAACTGAGACTTATCTAAAACTAGGTGATAGAAAGTTTTGGAGCGCGTGACGACGTGCTCGGCTTGAATAACAGTTTAGCATTAAAAAAAACGGAGCGTTTTTTTTTATTTAGAGGCGAACAACCATGTTAAAATACCATGGCTCTTTGTTGAGAACCGAAGGATTGTACGATCTGTAATTTGCAAGGTATGACTTGGAATATATGACTTAATATCGATCATTTATTAAGCTTCGCCGCGTTGGCCCATTTAGTTTATGTAATTTTTAGGCCCAGACGAGTTGTAAGTCCTAGTTGGAACGCATCTCGGTTCATTGAACAGTGGCTAGTGTACGCATGCATCGATTATGCTGAATAAAGTTCTCTTCTCTTCTAAAGCAGTCTGATTCCTAAGGGTAATCTTATCGGTGTGTTTGACTATCGGGAATCCTCAAGATAACGCCACGATTTAAAAAAAAAAAAACAGTTTCATATATAGCGGCCCCCAAAGGCGATGCTCAAATACGGGAACTGTTAAGCGTGGCCGATAGCCTCCTTTTCCCTGAAATTTGGCTTAAGACGAATCGGGGAACAAATGTCGCGTGGACCTTATATGTTTAACGGTGATTTCCCCATAGCAGCGCAAGAGGGACTAATCATTTATTGGATCCGACAGAATTATATGAGCTCTGCTTCCTGATATGTCTGAAATCTCCTCTGTCAGTTTTACTTGCAAAATTGTATTTTTGTATGTATAGAATTAAGGAGACAATATGATATATGTATACGCCCAGATATCATTTTCTATACATCTTTTCAATAAATTGTTCTCAATAACGCTACTGTGATGTCGAAGTATCTTCAACTCTTAGCAAAACTTGTCCTAAAAAAATAATTATATCCCGAAAAGCAAGGAAATTAAGAATGGGGATTACCCCAAGTGTTCTGTCTTAAAGATACGAGGAGTACGAGTGCTTCGTACAAAAATCTTTAATATGCACCTAAAATCATAAAACACTTTCCAGTTTGTTAATAGTCAGAAGTAGTAGTAATGATGGCTAGAAATACATGTACCTTCTTTGATTTTCAGTATCAGATAGCTTGTTGCCACTCTGAAGATTAAAGAAAGATCCAAAGATTTGTTCCTATTACGCCAGAGAAAACGATGTAAACAATCGGGTTGTACGAGGTAAAAAATCGGGGCTACACAATTTGATAGCTGCAAATGGTTAAACGACATCGACTTTGTGTATACTTAAAAACTTCTACATCTATATGCGCCACTGTGAAAATAACGCAGATGCAGTGAAGAGCTTCGGTTGTGAAAACCTCCTGTCCTAGAAATGGAACGCTAGGAAATAACATGTTAAACTAGGCCAAACGTCGTTTTACCCACTAGAGGTCGCAATAGGTCGAAATAAGTCGTAAATTATGCATTACCTTTTCAAAACGTTAACCCAGTCAGGTTTAACCGCGATCCAGTGTTCGTGCTTTGTATTATTATAAGGCCTGTTATTAATAGTCCCGGTAACCACTGACCTTAGGATTCATAACTTTTCGCTGGGCTTGGACTAACTTTACCACGCGAGTGGGTGCATTGGTGAGTGTACCGTAGGTGCAGTATTGGGCGCACGGAATCTACGACTTTACTGCGATTATCTTCTATCGCGTATATCTGATATACCGAGCAAAGGATGTTTATCTCCAATTCGTTTAAGCTTGGAATTTTTGGATGGAAATTTTTTGTTAGAAGCGGCGCACAGCAAGACGGCGTAACAAACAAGGGGGTATAAAGGCAACGCGGTCGAACACCGACCTCTTTGGTCGGCTAAAAACGTGATCACGCAAGTTTTTGTTAATTATACAGAGACATACGTAGAGAGGTTAAACCAGTATAGCCATTCAGGGGTATAAAATAAGATGAATCTAAAAATAGGTATAATATGTTTCGCATTGAGAGAGATGTCCAAAAATGAAGTTAAGATGAAGACGAGGGTAGTCTATAAACAGTTGCTGCCTTTACATCGCACAAGCAAGTTCTGACTCCCTAGACTTTTCCCTATTATCCACGTTCATTCTCAATGGGAATTAACGCGTACTCAGTTAATTTGATAACTGAACCTAAAGCTAAGGAGTTTCGACAGCCCTGTTATGGGATCAGGTCGTTGAATAAACTCGAAAAAGACTTGTTCAAAAGTACGCGCTTAATATGCGCTGATTTCGAGCATCACCATAAGCCTTGATTACTGCACACGGAATATTACGTACGGATGAGCTCTGACGTACGGAATCGCATTTCCGGTATGACAGCTCGTACAACAGGCTGCCATTGAAATGTCATTTCTGGTCACCGTCATACTAAATAGGACTTAGAGAGTTCGACATTTGCTATTTGAATTCGCTCGGTAGTATTTTGCACGGACCTTTTGACTGGCTTTTTCAACACGCAATATATAGCAAACGTCGTTTGTGTGACCAAAGTAACATCAAAGACTTAAAAGTCTCGAAGGGAAAGCTCACACTTTTTACTTCGATATTGAATTAGTCTTCATCTTACTATACAAAAGAGATATATTTTCAGATTTCTTAGACTGTTTAGGAGGCGATCGCCTTCCGGTCAAGGACAGATTCTTCGGCTCAATAATAATAGATATTTTGAACTTTTTTTACAAGCGAACCGCACCTCGAAGGTGGCAGTTGGTTTTCATTAACATTTCTTGGATATTACCGTAGTATTGTTAAAACGTATATTCATATGTTTAATCATTGATGGCTTTTTTACAGCAGCTGATTGTTGCCTATGGAATGATTGCTTTCGATTTGTAAGACTCCTTGAAAGGAGAAAGCACAAATCAAGCCATTTCTCCTCCAGAGGAAATGAAAGGTCACAATGAGTCCTTTGCAGTCATACTCACAGTGGTGAAGCCTGTGAGGCCAAATTCTTACCGAGAGCGAGCCTGAACCAGGTGCACAGTGCCAATGACGCCGATAACTCTAAATCGTTCTGTCCATTCGACTAATGTAGGAGCCTTCTTCTCTGAAACACCGTGGGTATGCCAGGCAATCCCTAGCACCCAGTAAGCAGCTACCATGGAAGAATAATAACAGCAAGCTAATAATAGTACAACCAGCTCTGCATAACAGTCAGTCTGATGATAAAGCAGACTAGCGCTTGGCGAAGACATCATCAAAGGCTCGCCAGGCCAACAGAAAGATGGGCCTGATTAAAGTGGCGCAGGTCTACCAGGGTTTCGCAGACCAAGGAAACATCTATGCTCTAAACTATGAGCCCTGGGTTCGTTATTTTATGGCTCGTTTCTATCTAACATTCTAAGTTTGCGAACCCAATTAAAGGTCTTACTTTAAGTTATTCGTAGATCAATGCTATCTGATATCCACGTTTTGACATTATTCAATGCGCTTGCGCTACTCATAAAGTACAGTGATTCCTTTAAATACTCGTATACATACGTATTAGTAACAGTAAATTTGCACTAAATCTGGTAAAGGGCAATCGACCTGTGTGTACAATACCCTAATAAGGGCCGTTTCCACGACACTAATTAGTAAGTAGGGGCAATATAACTGAGTTTGTGAACTGAGGAAAAAGCACATAATGATTTATAGTGGGTATCTTGCAAGTACCGAAGTCTGGGGTAAATAACGGTTTTGTATTACAATTGCTATATGATGATAACCAATAGACTAATATGAATCTGAATACTTCAAATTCTATTATGTTTGAAGAAATGATGCGCTGACGGAACCAAGACGAATTACTAAAACCTCAAGAACTACAGAATAAGGCGTATTCCTTCGATAGCTAAACAGGGCGATACGGGTGGTGCCAATAATGCACGTTTTTTTAGTCTTTTGTTCAAAATATACGTCATAAGTACGTCGAGCACTTCTCTGTCTAAAGCTTTAGAAATAATTTTCGGTTCTTCAACCGTCAAACGGGTAACTCTGCATTTTTTTTTGCTCGCAGCTAACTCGCTGAAACCCTTCTAAACTGTGTTGGGTATTTGCCCGGAATCTATGCTTTACCTCTGAGGCTTAGGCTTTGCGCGTTAACCTTCACGCCATCCGTAAACTTGCAGACGGCTGTCAAGCTAGCCCGCTAGGGAAGTGTACGGTATCGAGATATGGCAATGATCTCTTTGAAAAAAACGTGTGAGACTGTCTAAGCTAAACTGAAAATGTTTCCTACATCAGTAATTGAGGAGTTCAACCAGATGCTTTCTCTTAGTAGGCATCGGACTT